CCCAGAGCGCTGGGCTACAGCATCTCTAGTGAATCCTAATTTATCTGCGTGTGGGTAAGACTGAACTACCACGGGGCGAGGACTACTGTCTTACTCAGTTTGGTACCCTCAGTGCCTAGCGGGGTGCCTGGTGCAGAGCAATGTTCCAAAATGCGCACGAGCCGTGACCGGTGTGGCTCAGTGTGTTGGGCGTCATCCCACAAAGCAAAAGGTCACGGGTTCAATTCCCTGTCGGGATACATGCCTGGGTTGCGGGCCAGGTCCCTATTCGGGGCGTGTCCAGGAGGCGGCTGATCAGTGTTTCTCTCTCATATCAATGTTTTTCTCCCTCTCTTTCTCCCTCCTTCCCCCTCTCTCTAAAAGTAAATTTTTTAGAATTATTTAAGAATGCCTGGCCCTGGCTGGCGTAGCTCAGTGGATTGAGCGCGGGCTGAGAACCAAAGTGTCGCAGGTTCGATTCCCAGTCAGGGCACATGCCTGGGTTGCAGGCCATGACCCCCAGCAACCGCACATTGATGTTTCTCTCTCTCTCTCTCTATCTCCCTCCCTTCCCTCTCTAAAAATAAATAAATACAATCTTAAAAAAAAAGAATGCCTGTGAGATGAAGGGTTGACAAGAGAGTAAGTAGCCCCCATAGCTTGCCACACGTCGACATTTGGCTTGGCGCTGCGACAGAGCGTCCCGTGATCACAAGGACACAGCTTCCTCCCTCTGGGTTGCTCAGGGTTCGCCTCTCGGAGCACCTTGCAGGGGTGCTGGCTCTGCGACCGCAGGGCTGACGAGACTCCGCGTCAACAGGGTCTGGCGCCACCTCGGTGTACCCCCCAGGGCTGTTCCCTGCTCCCCCCAGAGCACCACAAAAGCAAAGCATTTGGGATATGCATTAGACCTTGTCTCCAGGCGAGTCCAAAAAGATGCAGAGTAGAGTTGGCATCGCTGATTAAAATGACGGTGCCGCAACCCCCACGCTGCCTCACCGACACGTGAGGCCCCCGCCTCCTCGTCTGGGCTCGTCTTGCGCCATCCTGGCCCATCAGGCTGAAACCACGTCCCACTCCTCCACCCCAGGGCCCTTGAGCACACGGTCTGGAATGTTCTTCCTCCTCCGCTGGCCTGCTCATCTTTCATCTCCTGCTTCCGACGGCACGTTTTCAGGGAAACAGATCTCAGAGATCTCCTCCCCGGGTACCCACCATGATAGTGCTCACAGCGGTGTTTCATAGCGTGTACCAGTGTCCCACGGCACAGTTGTGATTGTTTGACCAAGGGCTGTCTCCTGCACCAGACGGTAAGCAAGTACTGGGGCTGCTCTGCTCAGCGTTGCGTGTCTCCTCCAGTGGCCAGAGAGGCGGAGTGCTTCCTGCGTGCACTCAGATGGTTTTCTCTCTTCACTGGCTCTCCTAAGCGTGCACTTGGGGGAGAACCCAGAAATCCTCACACGACAGATGAAGGTGCCCTCCTCACGTGCTACACTCCTCCTGAAGACTATCTGGTTTTTAGTGTACCTTGTCTGGTTTCTTAACCCGACCTTAGGTCCTCTTCTCTATCTTTTTTTTTAATATATTTTATTGATGATGCTATTACAGTTGTCCCATTTCCCTCCTCCACTCCCCTCCCCCCTGCCCACTCCCTCCCACACACATCCTCCCCTTTAGTTCATGTCCATGTGTCATAAGTTCTTTCGCGTTTACATTTCCCACACCGTTCCTGCCCTTCCCCTGTCTGTTTTCTACCTACCATCTATGCTACTTATTCTCTTACCTTTCCCCCCTCTCCCCCTCCCACTCCCCTGTTGCTAACCCTCCATGTGATCTCCATTTCTGTGGTTCTGTTCCTGTTCTAGTTGTTTGCTTAGTTTGCTTTTGTTTTAGGTGTGGTTGTTTCTAACTGTGAGTTTGATGTCTTTTTTTACTGTTCATATTTTTTTATCTTCTTTTTCTTAGATAAGTCCCTTTAACATTTCATATAATAAGGGCTTAGTGATGATGAACTCCTTTAACTTGGCCTTATCTGAGAAGCACTTTATCTGCCCTTCCATTCTAAATGATAGCTTTGCTGGATAGAGCAATCTTGGATGTAGGTCTTTGCCTTTCATGACTTGGAATACTTCTTTCCAGGCCCTTCTTGCCTGCAAGGTCTCTTTTGAGAAATCAGCTGACAGTCTGATGGGAACTCCTTTGTAGGTGACTGTCCCCTTATCTCTTGCTGCTTCTAGGATTCTTTCCTTCATTTTTATCTTGGGTAATGTAATTATGATGTGCCTTGGCGTGTTCCTCCTTGGGTCCAACCTCTTTGGGACTCTCTGAGCTTCCTGGACTTCCTGGAAGTCTGTTTCCTTTGCCAGACTGGGGACGTTCCCCTTTATTATTTGTTCAAATAACTTTTCCACTTGTTGTGTTTCTTCTTCCCCTTCTGGTACCCCTATAATTCGGATATCGGAATGTTTAAAGGTGTCCTGGAGGTCCCTAAGCCTCTCCTCATTTTTTTGAATTCTTGTTTCTTCATTCTTTTCTGTTTGGTTGTTCCTTTCCTCCTTCTGGTCCACACCATTGATGTGAGTCCCAGTTTCCTTCCCATTACTATTGGTTCCACGTGCATTTTTATTCATTTCACTTATTGTAGTCTGCATTTGTTCATCTAATTTATGACCAAAGTCCACCAACTCTGTGAGCATCCTGATCACCAGTGCTTTGAACTGTGCATCTGATAGGTTGGCTATTTCTTGGTCGTTTAAAAAAATTGGCTCTGGGGCTTTTAACTCTGTTTGAGCCATCTTTTTTATTTTATTTTATTGTTTTCCTTTGGTCTGGTCGCGCCTATTACGTAGGAGGGGCGGAGCCTCAGGTGTTCACCAGGGCGGGGCACCTCAGTCGCTGGGTTGTGACGTTGCTTGTGGGGGCGGGGTCCGGGAAGGAACAATGGCGCCCGCTCCGCTCTCACCAGGACTCCAGTCCCCCTTGCCGCTTCCCACAAACACATGGGTCCCCTCTGTGCTGGCTCCCGGGCGGGTGGGCTTGCGCACTCTCTCGGACTCTGTGGGTGTCCCCAAAGAGCCTCCTGTGAGGCTGAGAGAATCTCCCGGCCTCACCTTCCACAGGTGTTTTCAGTCGGTGCCTTCAGGCTTTGTTTCCCGGCGCTGGGTCCCAGGGTTGCGCGGTCTGTGGCGCTGCCCGTTTTTGCTTATTTTGCGCGCGAACGTGCGGCTGCGGACGGCCAGCTGCCTCGCGCGTCTCACTGGGTCTGCTCGTGCCTCCCACGCCCGGGGTCTCCCACCGGTCCGTCTGCGCCCTGCGCGTGGGAGTCCGCCAGCCTCCAATTTTTCCTGCCGGGACCCCTCGACCCCTCTCCGTAGGCCTCGGACTCCGCCCCTCCTTACTGGACTGGATATATGGGAGTCAGACTTCCGTTCGGTTCATTCCTCTCAGTTCTGGTTGCTTTTGTTTGTAAATTCTTGTCCTTAGTTTTGGTTGTGTGAGGAGGTACAGTGCGACCACCTATGCCTCCATCTTGGATCCTCTCCACTCGTCTCTATCTCTTATGGGGTGGTTGCTAAGAATATTCTCCTTTTCTTTAAGATTTTATGTATGTATGTATGTATGTATTCTTAGAGAAAGGGGAAGGGAGGGAGAAAGAGGGGGAGGAAAACATCAATGTGTGGTTGCCTCTCGCACGCCCCCTACTGGGGACCTGGCCCGCAACCCAGGCCTGTGCCCTGACTGGGAAACGAACCGGTGACCCTTTGGTTCTCAGGCCGGCGCTCCATCCACTGAGCCACACCAGCCGGGGCTGTGTATTGTTTTGATTCCGAATTTCTTTCTTTGAGGGTATTTCTATTTGTTGAAAATATTTGCTCACACAAATTCTAAAAATACCCTTTTGTCCGTCTCTTCTGACGGCTGAGGCAATTTCTGGCAGGCAAATTAGAGCACAATTTAGTTGCTTCCTCTTAAGGGGAAAGAATATAAATGATATAAAATATAAACGCTAAAATCTAGTTTTATATTGCAACTATTTCAAACACACTGAGGCAGCTTCTCTTTAACGGAAATTGCTCACGTATTTAAATAACTTTAGCCGCAAAGGGGGAAAAAAAGTGGCGTGTCTGTGCTTTCTTTCTCCTAAGCCCTAAAGGTTCCCATACTTGCCACCAGGGGAGCGGCGGGCAGTCAGGTCTCCCCCGCTCACCCCCGACCCCTGTGTCTCCAAGGCCCCCCCGCCCCCGCCTCTGTTACCCGTTTCCTGAGCAGCCCCGCTGGCTCGCGCCATCCGCCTCTGTGCCCGTGGTTCCGAGGGACCAAGGCTCACCCCTCCGCTGCGATCTCACCCCTTTTCTCTTCAGTCCTCCCTCTGTTTCCCTGTCCCCGGCTTTAATAAGTGTGCACTCGAGATAAAAATGATAATGATAATAAGGACGTCACAGCCACAAAGTAATTTTTGACTTTTCAAGCCCTTTAGTTCCGGAAATTCTCCACCTGAGCAACCAATCTGTGTTCTCGGTCCACGAGGCGAGTTGAGACGAGGCACGAAGAGAAAGATAAACTTTATCATCCCACGGAGAGGAGAGATGTCGATAGTTGGATTCTCAGACGGGCAGTCGGCCTCCGCAGGGGCGTTTTAGGTTTCTGACTCGGAGGCGACAGTTCAGAATCTAAGATCCGACTCCTTCCTCGGACCCGCTCGGGACCCAGCGGCCTAGCCGGAGGGAAGAAGCAAACCTTTCTAAAGGTTGTGGCCAGACCTCGGCCAGCTTCTGTCAGCAGCCTGATTAAAAAGGCTAAGTGGGGTGGCTCCCCCGCACTGCTGAAAACCGTCTCTGAAGCGGCTCCGAAACCTCCTAACAAAGGGGCATTGACACAGCACGACAGGCGCTGGCACCTGCGATGCTGGCAAAGCCCCGCCCCTGTCCCCGAGGAAAAGGACTGGCCGGGTTCAGTTCTGGGCGGCCGGCCGACCTCCCTCACTCCGCTCCCGTGCAGTAAAAAGAAACCCAACAGATTCATTACTCAAAATATTTTTTTATTAACTGAAGCTAATCGATTCTCTTAGAAGGACAGAGAGACACATATTATATTCTTAAAAAAATTAAATTCCAAGTTAAAGCAGGAGTGTTTCAGAGTTTGACAATCTTTACAAACGCGCGGACCCCGCGCTCTCCCAGCAGCCGCCGAGCGCACGGGAGACGGGCGGCCGCGGACCCGGCCCGGACGGGCTCTGCTCGGCCGTGGGGCCGCAGGGGCCCGCAGGGCGGTGACAGAGGGATGACTTCCAGTCCACAGCGTCGTGTCGCCCCAGGTCCATTCACAGGGCCAAGCGCAGAGCCACGGCCACGAGAGGGGTGAAAGCCGCTGGCCACACACGTGGAGCTGGCTGCGAGCAGCTCCCGGCTCTGATGTAAACGCACGCACAGGTTTGAACAGTCAGGTAGTTCAGGTAGTGAAAACAGCATTTCAGACACGGGGGTTCTCTAGTTCACACCGCAAAGGGCTCCTCCAGCATGTCATCGTGGTGGGCATCCTGACAGCGAAGTGTCCCCTTGGCACAGTGTTGAGCTGGTGCAAGCACAACAGGGAGTAAGATCTCCCTCCTCACGCGTGAAAAGGGTTTCTGACACAGGCGGATGGTTCACTTGAAAACAAACCGAACACAGATGTTGGCATTAACTTTCCGTCTCCGCGCCCCTTGGGCGTGAAACGGCGCCTGGGAAGGGGACAAGCCTCGCTGTGTTCTCAAGGTCAAGGATGAGGTGTAGGCGGCTGCTTCCTGCTTCCACGGGGAGGAGACACCGGCTTCTGCGGGAAGGAGACGCAAAGTTAACACCATCCGTGCGGGGGACCGCGAGCCCGGGCTCCCAGCTCCGGGAGACCAACCACGCCCGTCGCTGGTCAGCACGAGGCCCTGCGGGGCTTTACAAACACGGGGGCTTCTCGGCAGAGAGAGAGAGAGAGAGAGAGGGAGAGGGGGAGAGGGGGAGAGGGAGGGAGAGAGAGAGGAGGCACAGGGGAGAGGGAGGCAGGGCGGGGGCTTAAGCTTTCTGCTCTCGCTGCGTTTGCTTACATGCTCTAGGCTTACTGGAAACCAGCTAAAACAAGGAATACTTTTTATCTTAAACTGGACTCCGAAGAAAATGCGTGTGAAAGGAAGGTCTGAGAGCAGGAAACACAAACCAAGAAAGTGCTTCCTGGGTCAATGCACCCTGTGCTGCACCCGGAAGCCCCATGAGAAGCCTTTTCCCGGCCCGGCGGCAGGAACGGGCTTGGGGGTCCCGACCGGGAAGGCTGCACGTGGTCGCCCCCTGGGGTCGGAGCGGCTGGGGGTTGAGAACGAGGGCTCTCCCGGGCTCCACCTGGCTTGCAGGTAAGGGACACCTGACCCGGAGTAAACGTGGAAGGCATGCACAAACAGGTCCCACAGCAGAGCAAGGACTGCGGTCACACACATGTGCAGCCTGTCCCCCGCCTTATCAGTGTCCCCAGTTACTCATTAAATGCCCACTGAGCCGGGCGAGATAAGCAAAGGTGACTCACCCACAAACACTGAACGCTGAGGCTGACTTTGTTTTCCCCAGCTACTGAGAGGTGTGTTTTGGAGCTGACTCTTCTGAGACTTCGAAGTTCTACAAAACAAGTTCCAAATTAGTAACCAGGACAGAACAAGTAGAAAATACTCAGGAAGCCTATATGTAAATACGGCAGAAGTGCCCGAGAGACCTCAGGAGGCTGAGAAACACAGTGAGGGCCGCCGCCCGCCCACACAACAGAGACGCACCGCTCTCCTCCTCGGGAGCAGGGGCCTCAGCCTCCGGCCGTGGGGCGGGGACGCTGCTGGCTCCACCGGGTGTGTCGTGGCTGCTCTGGGCAACGCCCGAACACGCGTGCATCCTCGGGGGCCTGGGCCCAGGCTCGGGGGTGAGCCCCCGGCGGGGATACCGCTCACCCTAACAATGACAACCCGAAACGCCCTGGCCGTTCAAGTGCCCAAGAGGGCTTGTCGGCACCGTTGGGTGTTTGGGGAGATACTTTTTTTAAAAGACAAAAAAAAAAAGGAGGAGGAGAAGGAGGAGAGAGGAGGAAGATGCCTGGAAAGACACAGGCAGACGCAGGGGGTGAACCTCAGCCCGTAGGACAAGCCCCCCCCCTCACTGAGCCGCTTCCTGCTGGGGGGAGCCAGTCCTCCGGGCCCTGCCGGGGTTCCCCTGGGGGCTCCCCGACCCCTGGGCGTTCCACAGGCTGCCCGCTCTCTGCTCAGACAGCCTTCCCACGCGTCTCACCGCCCGGTGGGTTCTGTCTCGTTCACTGGGGAATGTGGTTCTAAAAGGGATCCACAGGCTTTCCCAGGCGCCACAGAAAAACTGCAGCGGCCCAGGCCAGTGATGGGGGCGTGCAGCCCCCCCGCGCCGGGCAGAACCCCGGCCCGGTTTCAGGCTGCACCCCTCCCTGCCGCCCCCCTCGAGCCCGCGGGGAGCCGCTGTGGGGGGAGGTGTTGGGGTCCGCTACCCTCGCTGAGTTCTACTCTCTCTTTTCTCCTCTGTGTTCGAATCATTGGTGTTTTCAAGAAATAGTTGGCACACTGACATCGTTGAAAATGAAGGTCGCATACTCGTGCACCCTGACTCCCACCCCTTTGTGCACACAGAGCATGGCAGGTGCAGCTCTCAGCACCTTGCGCCCCACCTAACGGTGCACCCCGGAGATGCTCCACGCCCCAGACCCCCCCGGCCTGTCCCGGCGGGCGGACCGTGGCCAGTCGGGGCGTCCCCCGGCATGGCTGTCAGAGAGCGGCGCTGCAGGGAAGGGCCCACACCGTCCGACCTGCACTCAGGTGTGTCTGCGGGAGAGGCTCCCCAGGTGATGCTGCTGGTCAAAGGGTCAGTGCTGTGACCTGACCTGTCGGCTGACCGCACGCAGTGCCACCGGCCCTGCCAGGGGGGTTCGATCACTTCCTGCCCCCCCCACCGCCGAAAGTCGAGAGTGTTTCAGAGAAAGGCTTGAGGTGAGACTGTGTCCTCAGCAACAGGCGGCAAAGCCCTGGGGGGCAGACAGGCTGCTGGGACTCTCCTGGCACCCCTGTCGCCAAGCCGGCCAAAGGGGAGGAGCTGGCCAAGCTCACTGCCCGTGGACTTCTGCTCACTGTCCTCCCAACGTGCCCCGAACCGCCTAACAACCCCTGCGGACACCACGCCCAGAGCCGGCGCTTCTCCCCACCACACGCGGGTCGGACACCAGCTGGGGGACGCTGAACAAGATGCAGAACCACCTTCCCACCTGGTGAAGGTGAGACTGAAGGCGAAGGCGAAGGGCGGACCTCCTGCTGGGTCTTTCTCATGCGCAGCACCCCCCCCCACCCCCCCGCGGAGGCATCCCCAGCCGCCAGAAGCTCCGGGACTTTGGGTCTCTGCCCAAGGCCAACGACCCACGGGCCTTCTCCTTCCCTTTCCCGCCAGGGGCTCCCGGGGCCTTCTCGGGGCACCCTGTGTGGCGGGAACCTGGGGATGCCCGCAGGGAGGGAGGGGTTCCTCCGAGGGTTCGGGGACCTGCGGGGGGACGTGCCGTCGCTGCCACGTGCCGGGACTGTGCTCCGACAGGGTGACACCCACAGACCCACGCGGCTGCGACCCGAGGACAAGGGTGGGAGCTGCAGACAATGTCCTGAACGGGAATCGAACACCGAGCCCTGGACGAGAGGCTGAGTGAGGAGCCGGAGGCCAGGAGGGCGGGGAGGGACCCGTTGGCAGAGCACGCAGAGTGTCGTCCATGCTTCTGCGTCCCTTGTTGGAAAGTGACAACTTGTTCCAACTTGTCTGGTGCATGAGGGGACAGTTTGGGCACAGTGCGCAGTCTGTATCTGTTTACCTGCGATTCCGGGCACGAGAACCGCCAGGTGACCTGCACCCCGCTGGGCGGAGCCACGCCGTGTAGGAACATGCGTGTGTGCGTGCACACTCACGTGTTCCCCGGCTGCCCCAGCGTGTTGGCATCCGCCCACATCCGCAGCCGCCCCTCTGCATTGACCCCCCCCCCCCACTTCCCGGTCGGTCACGGCTGTGACTGCTCCCACAGGCAGACTTTCCCGAGGCCTTGCAACACGCAGAAAACCATCCTGCCATTTCGGTTACGTTCCTGCCCTCTAAGAAACCGTGTCACGGACAGAGTTTCTGGGGTAGGTGATGCTCCCGACCCGGTTTCCCTGTACGCCGCATGGTTTTCAGTGTGCAGTTCGGGGCGGGGCGGGGAGCTGCAGGAGCCCGGGTGCGCGCCGCCCTGCGGCGGGAGGGATGGCGGGCGTCAACGCGTCAGACGAGGCTACGGCACCACAGCACGGCCACCGCGCCACTCGCGCGTCGCACGGCCCCGCCGCTCTGTGACTCGGAGGCAGTGCTGAGCAGAAGCGGTGTGCTAAGATGTCACAACCACCGTGACGCGGTGAGGGACGATCCGTGACCGTCTGTGCACAAAACCCTAAGAATCGACAACTACTGCCACAGGCGGGTTTAGAAAAGATGCAAATCACAGAAGCCAATCGTGGTTCTTCATATCATCAACTAGAGATTTGAGGCTGAAACTTGAAATGCCCGTGGGCCCCGACTGGCGTGGGCCCCGACTGGCGTGGCCCCCGACTGGCGTGGCCCAGCGGGCTGGGCAGCGTCCTGCAAGCTCTAACTCCCAGTCGGGACCCGGGCCCGGGCTGCAGGTTCGGTCCCCAGACGGGGCTCATGCCAGAGGCAACCGATCGATGTCTCTCTCGCACGCCGATGCTTCTTTCCCTTTCCGTCCCCCTCCCTTCCCCCGCTGTAAAGGTAAGCAATAAACACAATCTCAAAGGAAAACGCCACGTGCAGCGGCATCAGCGGAGGGAACAACAGGAACAGGTCTAACCAAGACGTGCGAGACGCCGGCAACGGAAACCACGCGACGCGGTGAGAGGCGGGAGGGAGACCCGGGCACGCGGGACGTGTCTGCCCTGCTCGCGGGGTCGAGTCTCCCAGAGAGATCAGTGGGTTCAACGGAATCACAGTGTCAGAGGGCAGTTTGTGAAAGATCAACCGGTTGATCCTAAAACCGCTGTGGACCTGCAGACGACCTGGAAGAGGCAACACAACTCTGCAGAAGCCGCGCAGAGCAGAGGACGTGCCGGGGAACTCGCTCAGACGCAATGAGGCTCCAGCAGCAAGGGCGTCTGGGAAATGCGGGACCCTCCGTAGCCTCAGGCTTGGCCGGCTGCCCAGAAGGCCACCCAGAGAGAGAGACAGTGTCCCCAGGAGGGCGGTTAGTGAGTGTATGGAGGGTGGTAACGGCCTGACGTCATCTGCTGGCTTAGGACTGCGCCGGTCCCCCGGGGGTCTGTGCAGCTACCCAGCCAGTGGTTTAACCCCTCATACGAGAGACCCTGTCCCGGGAGGGGTGGGTTCTTCCAGCGGCCACCCCCGGGAGCAGCGGCTTTGCCCAGGTGGGTAAGGTTCTCCGATGAAAGCCCCCGTGGATTTGAGTGAGACATCACGTGCCAGTTCTTCAGAACCGGACCTGAATGTAGACGTTTGGGGCTTTCCTCCAGCAGGACGCGTACCACATGGCACCGTGGCTGCCCCGAGTCACGGAACCAACACCGCGTGGCACCGGTGTGAGACTGCGGGTCAGTGGGGCTGACCGGAGTGCAGCAAGGTAAATGACACCTCGACAAAGTTGTCTCTAAAGGAAAAGTATTTCAGTGTTCTTGCAGACCTTTCTTATTTTAGTTTTTGGTCAGAGATGCAAAAAAGTTTAATCAAGGGCTTTTTTTTTTTAAGATTTTACTTATTCACTGTTTAGAGAGGGAAAGGGAAAGAGAAAGAGAGGAAAAGAAACATCAATGTGTGGTTGCCTCGAGTGAGCCCCCTACTGGGGACCTGGCCTGCAACCCAGGCCTCTGCCCTGACTGGGAATCGAACCGGCGATCCTTTGGTTCGCAGGCCAGCACTCAACCACTGAGCCACACCAGCTGGGGTTAATTCAAGGGCTTTCAAACACCCGTGTCTCTAATTAGGCACATCGCACACTCAAGTCATGTACCTGGAAGCTTACATTCACAGCATCAGTTCCAAGCCCCTATCCTGCAGATCAGGGCACTGGGACCCCAACTATCCCGACCTCACGCTCCACGTCCTCCTCGCGGCTCGCGTTACGGCGCCAGAACCTGCAGAGCGCCCGAGGCACCGCTGCTGAGCTGTCCCTCACTGTGCGCAGAGAGAGCAGCCACAGCAGCCCGGGAAACGGGGCCTGGGGAAGGATGGGCCTAGGAAACCGCTGCTCTGCCATTCCCAGTGACGTCACAGATCTAGGTAATACTGACAGAGCAACGCTAAGATCAGTAAGTGGCCTTCAGGGGAACTTGATAATACCAAAGCTCAAGCTGACCAACTTCTGAACTCCCCACGGAGCTCCGCACCCACAGCAGGAGGCCCGGCCACCAGCCGGCAGAGCAGGGAGCGGACTGCCCGGCCCACATGGCGGTCCGGCCAAAACAAAAAAACCCAAACTGATCCCAAGTCTAATCAAGCAGCTCAATCTAAACACCAGTTTACAGGAACGACTGGGGGCGGGGGCAGGGGCAGGGGGGAGGATCACAGTGAGGATGGGGTCAGCGAGACCCCGACATCGGGAAACTACAGCACAAATGACCCAGTGTTTCCGCCGTGAGCACACGGCATCAGGAGGACAACGGAGAAGGACAAGAAGGAAGAGGAAGAGGAAGAAGAGAAAGAGAAAGAGGAAGAAGAAGAAGAAGAACAAGAAGAAGAAGGAGTAGTAGTAGGAAGAGGAGGGAAAGGGAGGAGGAAGAAGTGCTGGGGGACGCGAGAGACCTGCAGGGCAGACCCAGACGCGGAGTGGGAACCCCGGCTGGACAGCGGTCGGAACAAAGGGCGAAAGACCCGTTTGGGAGAAGCGGGAAAGCTGACAGGAACTGTCACTGAGGACATTTCGGAACAATCAGTGGGGGGGGGGGCGTCCTTATCTGCTGGGAGAGCGAGCGAGCGAGCGAGCGAGCGAGCGAGCGGAACGACGCGCCTTCGGGAGAAGCCCCGTGCGGTGCGGTGCGGACCGACCGGGAGACGAGGCCCGGGCGGCAGAAAGCTGGAGGGGGCGGCGGCCAGGTGTGGTCTGCTTCTGGGTGTATCTGAGACTTTCTGCAGTAAAGCTGCTTTTTCAGTCCCTGAGAATTTATATCCCTGTGCCCAGGTAACTGGAAAGAGGAAGTCTGGGTGCAGTGACATTTGCGGGTGACTTTTCCTTCCTCAAAACCAGTGCGCTAGCAGCAAAAACAACCACCGGTGTGCCGCCCGAGTCCCCAGAGGCACGGAGAAACTTCCCCGCGCTGCCCGGACAGCGACAGACACCACGCCCCCGGGGCCGAGGGAGAGCCCGCACCCACCTTCCTGGCGGCGGCGGAGCCGCCGAGGCCCTGGGAGCTGATGGGTAGCAGCGTGCTCAGCTCCAGGTCCGTGACCATCTGCCGGGACTCCGCCAGCAAGCGCTGGAGCTTGCTCGTGGGAGAGAAGTCCTCCTGGAAGAGAGCACAGCGGGAGCTCCCGTGAACTCAGGAAGCGTCTTTAAATGTTATGCGCGTGGATACGGTGTAACAGACACAGATGTTAACTACTCGTTAACATTTCTTTGATATGAACTATTCATTAATATTTCTACTATTCTATTTGTTACTACAATAACATACAATACTTCTTTGACTGTGGGTTAATAAATACCAGAATAACCAATTCCATTTATCTCTTAGAAACTACTTGGCTAAATAACTGGATTTAAACAGGCCTTATGACAAGTAATCAGGCAACACCCACGTGACAGAAGGACCCCAGGCACGGCTGATTTTCTCCTAAGTCAGCTTGCCAAAGCCGTGACTGCAATGTCAGAATACTCGCAAAATACAAAACACTAAAGGCTTATAAGCTTTTACAAATATGTAGAATGTGCCTTAGTTTGCTCTTGTCTAATTTTCCACCTTGGGATCTGAACTTTTAGCATGCCAACTGCTCTCAAAAGCACCAAGACTAACTTTTTCATTAAGGAAGGCTCATTTCTAATTTTCCATGAACAATGATTACTACTGACCTGGACCTAAGATGTTTATTAATTAAAAACCGATACATCAATCCCCTGTAGAGCCTGAGGGGCATCCTGCCTAAAGCCGATCTACAGGGTATGTGTGACCTAAAGTCCTGTAACTTAAAGGAAACTGAGGCACGGCCAAACCTCGGCACGTGAACACCTGCGCTAGAGGAGAACCAGGAGTATGCGGGGAGAAGTCTCGCGCGATGAGCTGGGCGTTTCTAAGTGAAACACAAACCTTCTCACTGGGCGGTGCTGCATCTTTGTTCACAAACAGAATCTTAGGTGAGTTCTTTCTATCCGCAGAGGACTCTGTCTCCATCGCCTTCTCATCCCCTGGCAAGGCAGAGCCCACACAGGGGGGCTGCGGGGCGGCCGCGAGCTCGCTGTGGGGGACGGAACCAAACAGAAACAGACGCCTCAAATCAGCACTGAACACACCGCACCAACACTCTTGCTCTTGAAATATCCCAGCAGCACCAAAAAAAGGTTATTTCTCTTTTTCCAATGAAGAAGCTCAAGTGTGAGTAGAACATTATAGATTTGAATAGAACGTTTGAGTGAAATATTATAAATTAATGCATATCCTTTGCAATAATTAAAACAAAATTCTTAAAGGGTAACGACAGAATAGAGACATTTCCCTCCTCCCTGACCCCCCAAAAAGAAAAGACTGGGAGACAGAATCGACCAAAAGGGAGGGAAGAAATGAACAGAGTATGATGTGTAAAAATTCGAGGTTTTTGGTGTGTGAGACCAGTTTTGTCCACGGTGTTCGAAAGTGCCCTTGTGAGCGAGCGCGGCCCGGCTGCGGCTCCTCAGTTCCGAGGCCTCTGCCCACACTGGAGAGCACACACGCCGCGGAGCTCCTGGGTCTGGTCTCAGGGGCCGCCCGGCACACACGGGAGCCCATGGGCCTCGCCCTCCGTGTGGCCCGTGACTGAGCGCCAGCAGAGCAAGGCCCCTCCCCCGAGGGGCCCGTGTTTGTCGGGTGGAAGGTGGGACTGTGCACAGACGCGAACGCTCAGCCAGAGGCGGAGAAGCAGGAAAGCGGCGTCATCCCCTCACCCCCATCCATCACGCGTCTGTCACTCGAGGCCTGGGCTCACGCCTCCGGCTGGCAGGACCAGAAGTCAGCTCGATCAGTTGGAGCCGGGGAGGTCAGAACGGTCTTGAAAGGAGACTCTGAGTTTCAACTGGGAATTCCCTCGTACGTTACACTTACCGTACGTCCACCCTGCTCCTAAGACGACCCGACACAGGCCTCCCTTCCCCTGCGGGGGTCCGTGCTGAGGTGAGGTCCCCGCGGTAGCCCCCTGCTCAGAGTTACAGTTCTCAAGAGACCACCGTTGAAAACCAAACGTGCTCACTGAGTGTGACAACCAATTTTTAACAAGTTTTGCAACTGACAGATTAACTACACGTATGATTTTTAAATGACTCAGGCTTCTAAAAGAGCCCAAGGTCAATCCAAATAATGTAACTATTAGAGAGGAAATTCAGTCATCGAGTCCTAGGAAAGTCAAAGTGATGGCGACCATAAGGCCCTCAGTACAGGAACTTGGACTTTCCAGTGATTTAAGACTGAAGAGCTAGAGCCCTGGCTGGCGTAGCTCAGTGGATTGAGCGCGGGCTGCGAACCAAAGTGTCACAGGTTCGATTCCTAATCAGGGCACATGCCTGGGTTGCAGGCCACAGCCCCCAGCAACCGCACATGTTTCTCTCTCTCTCTCTCTCCCTCCCTTCCCTCTCTAAAAAATAAAATAAATAAAATCTTAAAAAAAAAAGACTGAAGAGCCAGGTTCTCTTTGAAAACAGCTGACATCACTATAGCGCCACTCAAGTGCAAATGCAGCCACTCTCGCAGTGGGAGGGACCTGAGTGATGCATACATGCTAACAATGCACGTGCAGCATATGCTAATAACTAGTCCATTTTTAAAAAGATTTTTTATTTATTTTTGGAGAGAGGAAGGGAAGGAGAAAGGGAGAGAAACATCAATGTGTGGTTGCCTTTCACATGCCCCCCACTGGGGACCTGGCCCGCAACCCAGGCATGGGCCCTGACTGGGAATCGAACTGGCGACCCTTTGGTTTGCAGACCATGGCTCAGCCCACTGAGCCGCACCAGCCCGGACTCCATGTTCTTTTGTTAAATAATGTTACCAGCCTATTAAATACAAGTACTTGTTCTCCTGCATGGTTTCAAGAAAGTCTGGGAAATGTACGGGGAACACAAAGGCAGGGGCACTTGGATCTCTAAGAGGGCGGGGCGACCGCGGCTCAGGGTGGCAAGGAACTCCTGTCTGGGGTCTCCGGAACGCATTCCGTCTGGGCACACAGACACGGCTTATCAACCCAAACGACCCGGGGTGAGGAATGCCCCGGAGCAGTACGAAGTGGCCCACCTGTTTGTGTTCAAATAAAACATTATTTGCCCAACTCTCACGACATCCGCCTTTGTTTTTAAGCGACGCCTTTGCCCCAGAGGCCGGCCCGGGCACAGCCTTTCCACTGGAATCCAGTTCAGTCTGCAGAGTCAGGTCCCAGCGGCCCCACGGAGACAGGCAGGCCGCCTCGAACACTGCCCGTCTGCAGACGCAGACGCAGCCGGCGCCGCCCTGGCCGCGGCTCCCCGGGTGTTCACGAACGCGGGGCGCACTCACCTGGCGGAGGGGTAGCACTGCGGCCCACTGGCGCTCTCTGCGCATGTGCACGCCGACTTCAGGCGAACGACGCGCTGCAGCTTGGCCGGCTTGAAGATGCTCATCCACTCCGTGTCGGACATCTGGCCCGGGGCCTCGACCACGAAGTTACTCGGGTGGCAGCACCTGGACCCGCACGCGTCACTGTCGCCCAGCCAGCCTTCACTTCCGCGGCAGCACGAGGGCCCCGGCCCCTCCACGCGGCCTTCGCACTCCGCTCGCAGCCGCTCCCGCCGCTTTGCGCCTGCGCAGTCGGCCAGGCCCAGGAAGACGCTGACCTCGTGCCGCGGCGTCTCGTCGGCAGGCAGCGCGGGGGCTGCTGGGACCGGCTTCTCTTCCGGCGGGGCCCCGACTCCAATGCCTTGGGAGGATTTCCCGTGGATCTGGCACGGCGCGCTTTTGTGTTCAGGCTCAGTCGGGAGTTTTCCTCCCAGAGACCAGGACTTCTGTTTCCCCGTCAGGTCCTTTGTGAGCAGAGAGGAGACGGCCAGGACGCTTTTCTCCCCGAACGCCGCGCTGGCCTGCAGCTTCTCCGCGCAGCCGGCACAGGAGCCCCTGTCGGCCCTGATCTGCTGGGTCAGCGTGGCCTCCAGCGTTTGGTCCTTGACCAGCGACTTCTGATGTTTCTCCCTCTTAATATCGACTTTTGGGTGGTTGCTTTCAAGGTCAGATAAGTACATGTCTCTGCTACGGTGGCATTACAAAAAACGAAGTTGTAAGATACACTTGATACTATCATTCCAAATATTTCACCCAAACCTCATTAGCTGACCTGAACCCTAGTAAGACCCACGTGTCGGAAATGAAATATAAGGAAGAATATCCGCTCCTTCTCCGGAGCCCAGGTGCAGCCTGCGCCCCCAGGAGTCTCTCTGACCCCCATACCCACTACCAGGGCACCCACTGAGTCCCCTGTCTCCTGTCTCCCCCATGTTTACGTGCGGAGGCCCCTTCAATCCCCCGGGGCCCTGCGGCGGACTCGGACACAGACAAGTGCTCTGCACATCCTCCCTGCCTGGTCTGGTCTGTCCCTCCCCTCCCTGCCAGCGACACCGCGAACACAGGCAGAGCCAGCACTGAGGGGCGACGGAGACCAGGCAACGGAGGCCGAGTGGACGGTGCCGAGTGCACCGGCCACACCGCTGACCTGCTGGAGACGAGCGTGGCTGTGTACTGAAGGCTGGCCTTCAGGTACCAATGACACGTATGTGTACAATGAAAACCAAGGGTGTACAGCATATGTGTGACAAATCTGTTAAATGTCTTTAAACGTTTTTTCCGTCACACGGATCCAGGGATTCTGAGCTGTCTGGGTCTGACCCCTCGGAAAACCCACCCCCTCCTTCTAGATGGCATCAGCCCCTTTAGGCTCCCAAAGAGCCACCTCGCCAGCAAGCCCGTGCCTCCCCTCCCCGTGCCGGTGAAGAACAAGACGGTGTGAGTGGAAAGGGCCATGTCATCAGCCTCACAAGCTCCGAGACCAGAAGTGACCACAGAGGACAGACCACAAATTCCTAACTGGGCAGGTCGAGGCAAGTGGCCACGCCCCGGCCCACAGCTTCCTCAGCAAGGGGTGGCGTCTGTCTAAGTGGGCCTGTCCATGTCCTCACGCCTCCTTCCCGGCCCTCCAAGGCAGCCCCCGCCCCAGAGCCCCAGGCTGCAGAGCCCTCGCTGTCGCGCCGGGGCCCACAGGCCCGCTCTGCGCTGCAAGAGTATTAACCAGCCAGGACCCGCCAGCCTGCACGAAGGACCTCTCGGTTTTCCCTCTGTCCAGCCCCAGGGGGCGCCCTGCTCTGCCTTCTCCAGCCCCCTTTACTGACCACCGGTGGCTTTCGTGCACCTGCCTTACGTCTGAAATAAGCTGCAAAACTGCTATTGCTGGGAGCATTTGCGATCTTGCTCCCTGGCACACGTCATCAGTTTGGCTCAAATAAACTCATAAAAACTCTCGACAGGTCTGGAAGTTTCTTCCATCAACGAAGGAAAAAGAGCCGGTGTGTTAGGGCCTCTGCCGACACGGGTGCTGGGGTGGCCGGGCGCTTAGCAGCAGCGGCAGCTGCCGCTGGGACACGGCCCGTGAGGACGCCCAGCAGAGGCCTCGGGAGGAACGTGCAGGGTCCCCCGCTGCACTGCCCAGGCCGAGCCCTGGCAGCCCAGGCCTGCAACCGCCACCCAGGGGGCAAGGGGCTGCGGTCAACCCGGGGCAGCCTTGGGGGTCACAGGGCAGCAAAGGGGAGCGTCCCTGAACCCTGCTCCTTTCCGTGACCCTCCGAAAAGCAGGCTCCAGTGAACACAGGCAGGACAGCTGTGGGCCCGTTCCCCTTCAATTTTGTGGAGACCCAGTGAGTTCATGTGCTGCTCGCTGCAGGGCAAAGACACCCTGTGCGCTGACGAGGGGACAGGGAACCCGAGGAGGAGCAGAGCCGCCGCCCCCAGGCAGCAGGCCCCCCCCTGCAGCTGTGCACACACAGCTGACCCTGCCCCTTCCACTTCGCCTGGAGCTTCTCCGCAGCAGACAGACAGACAACGACGAGCGAATTTCTGCCATCTAGTGGCTGGATTAGGACCACGCCTACAATTCTAAGCCCAGGTCTCCGCACGACCTGGATGAAAATGGTCGCTGTTGGCCCCTATACATTCACCCCCGGCTACCTGGCGGACGGCAGCGGGTGCTGGCCCACGGCAAGGGCTGGACGAGGGCCGACGGAACGACGACAGAAACCGCGAGACCGAGCGGCAGCATCGCCCCAGGGTTACCTGGACTCCAGGGCCCGGGACTCCTCCATCCGCGAGTTGTAGATCTGCACGAGCTCCTGGGAGTGTTCCACGTTGAAATTAAGGAACTGCAGGTCGCTCTGCTGCTTCACGTAAATCTGCCGCAGACAGGGGCAAGTCAACACAAAGCGTAACAATAACACTAAGCGGCGTCGACAGTCCGGCATCCAAACGCTAAAGCAGATCAGGTAGTGGCCAGAGGAATACGGCACACGTTCTTGCTCTCACTTCCTCCCTGCGTGAGCACTGACGCCGGCCAGTGCCCCCCCGTCTCCTCGCCTCTCACCGCCCTAAGCGAGGCCCCGCCTGCCGTGCTGGGCGTGAAAGACATCTAACGCGGTCGGGATCCAAAGGCCCCACGGCGGCGGCAGAACCAGCAGACGCACGCTTCCCCCACCCTGACGTCCGGCGCCAGCGTCCCCCGCCCGGCAGGCAGCACGGGGCGCGCCCGGGACGCACCTGCCGCAGGCTGTGCAGCTCCGCGTTCGTGCGGTCCTGCTTGGACTTGGCGATGTCCAGCAGCTCGTCCTTCCTCTTCTCTCTCTCTCCTGCGGGGGGCGGGGGAAAGAGCACCGTCAAAGCGGTTCTCGTCAGCCACGTCAGCGCAAACCTCTCCATTTCTAAAAATCATTCTGAGACAGCAGTATGGGCACAAAAGACGTTTAAGAAGTCCACGTAGCAAATAATTAAAAAAACGCTTTCACCAACTGGGTTTTTCATGGCACTAACAAATTTTAAGTGTTTTACTTAGTAAATAATGACCGGCTGGAAGAGCAGAGCTCGGCGCATCAGAGGGAAGAGAGGATGCTGGCACAGCCCGCCCGCGGCTCCCCTCCCCCGCCCACCCCCCACCGCGTCCCACCCAGGCGTCTGCAGGCACCGGGTTCTCTGGGCCTACGAGCTCCTTGGCAGACAGCAGCGTGCCTGGCACTTGGGGGCTGATCCAGAGACTGTTGCAGATAGATATGTAGACACAGAGATAGATACAGAGCTATAGAGATAGGTATGTGTAGCTAATCGGTATACAGTAACATACATATATCTCTTCTACTTGCCTGTTTAGTAATGTAAGACAGTACTGTGCAACAGCAGCAATCGTAATCATGGATATAGTGACCTCTAGTGGTAAAAAGCCACGTTTCCACATGAGATTCAAATTGTTTGACATTTTTTAAAATAAAATACTGCATTTGGCCCTTTTAACTATAGAGATGTATTCCCTTCCTAGGGCAGGGCATTACGCATAAGTGTGAGTAGACCAAAAATATGTTCACTGAATTTCTATGGGAATTTTACCCCCAAGTCTGTGTTTTCCTCACACAATGCCCCCACCTGAAAGCCCCACAGAAGCCCCCTGGCAGGGACAGAGATGAGACCCACAGATCGGAGACTCCTGGGCAGGAGCAGAGGAGGAGGGGCTCTCACCAGGGGGCCGAGATGCCAGGCCGGGCAGGGACGGGAGGGGCCCGGGGTGGGAGCAGGCTGGGGGAGGGGACGCGACTTTGCTTAGCAGAAGGGCGCCACGGCCAGACCTTCCTGAGACACTTGCCTTTACATCATGAAAACTCCATCCCCCGCATTCTTTGGGGTCTTAGTAACGTAACAAAACGTGAATATTTTTGCAACTGTAGTAATTACAGGTAATCGATTTGCGAAACTGGAAAAATGTTGAACTGCTAATTTTTATATAGCATTCGCAAAAGTATAAACAATCTTTCTTTAATTCATAAGTTTCTTCCATTTTAAAAAAAAATTTCTTTATTTTTTAGCGAGAAGGGAAGGGAGGGAGAAGGAGAGGGGGAACATCGGTGTGTGGTTGATGCCTCTCACGTGTCCCCACCTGGGGACCTGGCCTGCGACCCAGGCCTGTGCCCTGACTGGGGATCCAACCAGTGGCCCTCTGGTTCCCCAGCTGGCACTCAGCCCACTGAGCCACGCCAGCCAGGGCCGTGAGGCCCTTTCCTAATGAACGTTCAGTGAGAAGTACAGCCACAGGCCCCAGCCGGGAGGGAGGCCAGCTCCTTTACAGAGGAAGAAACAGTTAACCAGGAGGCATGATAAGGACTTTAGACGTCCCTGCCTGGTCCCTCCGCACCCCTCAAAGGCTTTAAAAAAAAAAAAAGAGAGAGCCCTGGCTGGTGTGGTTCAGTGGACTGAGTGCTGGTCTCTGAACCAAGGGGTTACTGGTTTGATTCGCAGCCAGGGCACAGGCCTGGGTTGCAGGCTGGGTCCCCAGTGCGGGGCCTGCAAGAGGCAGCCACCCACTGATGTTTCTCTCCCTCTCTTTCTCCTTCCCCTCTATCTAAAAATAAATAAATAGTATCTTAAAAAAAGAAAGAAAGAAAAAACTATTTTGAGAGAAGGATAATTCCTTTAGCTCGCTGTAGTACCACAGGAAGTTCAGGATACAAATATATGCGCAGTCAGTCCCTTAAACTAATTATCCACTTTTACCAGTAAAAACCAATTCATCGTGCAGGCAACTATTCTCTTGCTTGAGGCGAATGATTTCTTCTCGTTGTTCATTATTTTCTGTTGTCTTTTCATTTAGATCCTCTTCACAAATAGAAGAAAAAGAAAGTTCTCAAATGAACACTAGTCCATGGAAGGATGCACACAGTGTGACTACCTCTCATGCCCTCAGCACCCCCCTCCCCGTTCACAGGAAGTCCTGTGGGGTCCGCAGCCAGAGCTCGCCCCACCCCCACCCCCACCCCCACCCCTGGCAGCTCACCGCACCCGGCTGTCACCCCGGCCAGCCGGGACCGGGCTAAGGCTGCGCTCGCTCTCTCTCCCCCTGCGCGGTCCCCGCCGGACCCTTGCCTGCCGGCCACGGACAAGCAGGCTCTCTCTCCAAAATAAAAACCTCCCTGCTAGAAGCCGCCCTGCCACACTCGGGTGAACCCCAACATGTGACCCCAAGCCCTCCTGGCCTGGCCCTGCCTGTCGCGCCCCCTCCCTTCCGTGCCGTGCCCCACCCCCCCACCCGGGCTTCTGCCTCTGTTGCTCCTTCTGCCTGGAAGGCTCCCCGCCCCAAGCTTCATGTGGCTGGTCCTCCCTGTCACCCACATTTTCGCTGAAATGTTCTCGTCCAAGACGCCTTCCCAGGCCACCCAAACCAAATGATCTTCTTCCCTCATTCTCTAGTCCACTCTCCATTGCCCCCTTTTTCTTTGAAAAAATAGTTTAAAATAAATATTCAATTAATCTTACTTAGAGTGTTCAACTAATTATGAACCAAATGCCTGCACCGTCCCCAGTGGCGGTGCCGTTCACCGCAGACCCCGGCTGCCAGGGGCTCCCCGCGAGGTTCAGGTTACAGCTGCCGCCCCGGTGGAGGCCGACCCAGGGTTTGCACCGGTCAGACCGTCAGAGAGCCAGGCCGAGGCTCCCAAGTCAAGGCGACCGCGATGAACTCACGGGGTTTCGCCAGCGCCTCTGAGCTCTCCCTAGGACAGAGGTGGGGGCGCTCCCACCACGCCACGGCTCCGCCACCCCAAGGGGCCGGTCCCACCGTGGGGAGCGGCCGGAGGAAAGCGGGCCTGCCCCCGCAGCCCCTGCAGCGGGCAGATGCGGGTTGACCCTGCCGCCTGCATCCGTGCTCAAGCACAGAGTGCTGGCCTACTTGGTGCACCTCCCCTCGCTTCACGTGAGACCTCGGGTACCACTACTCGGAAAGGACCGTTCACGGAGCTACGTGAGAGTGGGGACAGGAGAGGAGACGGCAAAGGACTTACGTGGACACCCCACGGACACGAACTAGGGTGGAGGGACGCCAGAGGGAGGGAGGATGCAGGGCAGAGGTGGGTAAAGGGGAGGAAAAAATGGGACAACTGTAATAGCACAATCAATAAAATATTTTTTTTAAAAAAAAGGAGAATGCAAAGGCATTTTAAAGAACACCACACGCTCCCAAAGCCACCGGGGCAGCCTGCGTCCTGGGTGGCCCTCCCTCCTTGCTCTGCTGCCTCCCTCTCACCCGGGCAAGAAATGCGCGAGAGAAACATCCGTCGGCTGCCTCTCGCACGCCCCGAGCTGGGGCCCTGGCCTGCGACCAGGCACACATCTGACTGGGAATCGAACCAGCGACCTTTCCGTTCACAGGCCGGCGCTCAACCACTGAGCCACACCAGCCGAGGCGCCGCCCGCTGAGATGTTGCCGTCGGCTGTGACAGAGCGTGTGCCAGCGGTAGGTAGCGAGTGCGGCAGGGCAGGACTGGCCATGTGTCATGCGGTTCCCCCAACTCGGCAGCTCACCGTGGGAGACGGAGACGGCAACCTGGTGCCACGCACGTGACACGAACCCCTCGTGGCCGGCCCCGAGGCCGCCGGAGGAGGCCCACTCTCAGCCACAAGGTTACAGGGACCCGAATGCAGGAATCTACTCCCATGATAAACGCTACAATTGATGTCTCTTCCTCACCTTTCAGCTTGTTGATTTCAACCTTAAGGGTCTTCAGCTTCTGCTTGTAGTCTTGCTTTTCCTTCACGATGCAGGTCTCCACCATCTTGGCGTCGCGCAAGGCGTGCTCTAGCAGCTTGAACTTGCCCGAGCAGTCCGAGATGTGGTTGACCGCCTCAATGATGTCTTTGTCCTAGACGCCGAGTTCGAAAGCTGTCACATGGGACGCTCAAGTCCCCAGTAACCGACGCGAAAGGACCGTATTCACTGGGACGTCCCCGTGTGACGGAACCCTGGGTGCCGGGCCCCGTGCTGAGCACCTGCTCGGGTAACGCGCTCCACCCACCCGCCCAGTAACTCCCTGAGGCGGGCACTGCCGCTGCCCCAGCGACGGCCGGGTCAACAGTGAACAGCCACGGTCACCCGACGGGTCAGTGAGGGACCCCAGCCCGCTGGCCCCGCCCCAGGCGTGGCCCGCCGTAGCCTGCTGCCCGAGAAAGCTCCGGACCAGACGCTGCGACGCCCAGGGAAACTGCAGTGACGGGGGGCCGTGAGGGGCTTGGGCTCTGGTTATGGAGAAACCCCACGATCGGCCCGCTCCCCCTTCCCTTCTTTTCAGCAAAACGAGAGACCCCAGGCCCGAGCCCACACCTACCCCGACCAGAACCCCTTACTGTTGAGGTGGGTCTTTAATTACTCTCCGGCCGCACAGGCACGGAATTTAAGGGAGCCCATGCGCGCCACTAGACCCCGCGGCCGGCGGAGCGCCCGGGAAGGGAGGCAGCCCCCCGCCCCCCCCACCGACTCACCTTCAGCTTTATCATGGTGGTGAGGGCCTGCTCTCGGGCCTGCAGCTGTCCCACCTGCGCGGACAGCTCCACCAGCGTGTTGCTGAGGTTTTCGTTTCTCGCCTGCGAGGAAGCAGCACGTGAGTGCGCGGGGGAGGGGGGGGCCGAGCCCCACAGAAGCTCTCGGTACTGTACTGTGCTGTACTGTACGTAGCCTCGCTCTGGGATCGTCCTTCTGTCTGTCTGTTTTTTTAACTTCTTTTACTAACAAAGCGGGCCAAGTAAGCAGCCATGGAAAGGAACACTAAGCCCCAGGCGCTGTGGCTGAGTGGGCGGGGCAGCGTCCTGCAGATCGAAAGGTCACCGGTTTGGTTCCCGGTCAGGGCACCTGCCTGGGTCGTGGATTCGGTGCCCTGTCGGACACGTGAGGAAGGCCGCCAACTGATGCTTCTCTCTCATCTCGATGTTTCTCTCCCTCTCCTTCTCCCTCCCTTTCCCTCTCTCTAAAAATAAATAGAATCTTTTTTAAAAAATAAAAGTCAATAAAGAAAAAGAAAATTAAAAAAAACACCAGGGCGCTGTCCCGAGCACAGCAAGAAGGCGCCGTCCCCCAGCCGAGGAGAGCCCTCGCCGGACGCTGACGGCTGCGACCCCGCCCCGGGCCCCCGCCCCCGGGTCTGTGAGAAGAGAAACGTCCAGTGTCTCAGCGTCCTGGGCCAGGGTACTTCGTGACGGCAGCCTGAGCTGACCGAAACACTCCCATTTTTCAATGGAACAGATCTGTAGATTCTAGAATAGTTTCTACTTAGCTTATAGCTAGGAACTCTCTAGTAATCTAAAACCAATAAAAAAGGCGTAAATTAAAAGCTGTACTATCATTAGGAACCACGAAGACTCATCGCATCACTGAGACCTGCACGGAACATCTCTGTGAGACGGGGACGTGCCGGCCAGGACAGAAAGCGGCCTTCTCTCGGCCGGAGCCTCTCGTCCCGGTGACGGACCGGGCACACGGGAAACCTGGAGAACCAGCCTCGCGGGGTTCACTCCCCGAACAGCCCGGGGAGACGCCTGCTCCTCCCACCGGACAAGACCAGCTCTGTCGAAGGCACAGCGGAAGTGACCACAGCCCAAAGGCGCTGACCTCAGACCTGGAGGAAGGTTTCTAAAGCAACGCGCTGTTGGTCAGCGGCAGATGCTGCCGAACCAGACAGCCCGGCCGCTAGGAAAGGGCCGGGGCGGAGCTTCATCTCCACGCCGACAGCTCAGCAGAGCAGGGCAAGCAATACAAGGCCGTGATGACGGACGGACATATTTTCTTTCTCTACTTAGTTAATTTGAGGGAGGGGGAAGAGAAACACTGAAGCGAGACACACACACACACACACACACACACACCCCCCAGTCGGGGTTGCCTCGCAAACACGCCCCAGCCAGGGACCAAGCCCACAGCCCAGGCATGCGCCCTGGCCGGGAACCAAAGCTGCGGCCTTCCCATGTGGGTACGGGATGATATTCCAACCAACCGTGCCACACCGGTCAGGGCCGGGTGGGTACCCCTTCTCACACACACATACATGCATTCTCAATGCGAACATTGAAAGGCGTATTTTCAGCAGCGGAAACACAAACAGAGTTTGGGCTAGCGAAGCTCAGCACAGAACAAAACCGACCTCGAGGTCTTCCGAGAGGAGCGAGGCGTGGGTGGCCTTCTGGGCCATCTCCTGGAGCTGCAGCTGGGTCTTCTGGAGGGCGGTCTGGCACTCCACGTGACTAGCTTCGAGGGTCTTGACCTTCTTCGTGAGCGACCTGATTATCTCCGTCCTTTTATGCAGCTCACCTGAGGGGAAGTCCATCAATAACTGGGCCGCGGTCAGATCTGGGGCTCAAAATGCATTCTCCTCCAACACACGGATTGAAAAAGTAAGCGTGCTAAAGAACTCTTGACAAGATACTTTTCCTTTGAAAAGGTCTTATTATTATGCGTGTGCGATCCCGCGCCCGGGAAGGTGCCCTTCCCAACCACCGTCCCGGTCCCAATCATCTCCTTGCTCCTTATTACAGTTCTGCCTCCTGTCTCCACCGCCCAAGGCTGAGCTTCCCCTTGCGGCATCACTGTTCCCTGCCGCGTGGGAAAGCGGGCGGGCTCACCGTAAACCCGTTTTTGCCCCTCCCTGCACGGTTCAATGGGAACCGAAAACGGGTAAAACTAGACTCCGTGTGAATTCTTCCGTTTGCTGGTCGCACTTCAGACCGTGCTCCCGGGACTTCCCCGTGTCGTCTGTAACCTGTGCCTGTCTCCTGTCGTTGCTACATAACATCCCACGTAGGACTCCACCAAATGTATTTATCGGTTCTGCTACGGGCGGTCACTCGGGCGTTTCCACTGCGCAGCCACCCTGAGCCCACGGCTCCAAACGGCCGTGGACGGGCATCTCGGTGCATTTGCGCGGGACTTTCTCTAGGGCCCTGTCACTCAGACGTGGTCCTTGCCCAGCAGCGTGGACACCCCCCCCCGGCAACTTGTTAGAAATGCGACTCTCAGGCCCCCATGAACTGAAGCGGGACCTACGTATGGACAAAGCCCTTCGGTAACTCGTGCGCACGCTGACGTGGGGGCGTGGGGGCGCTGGGCCGCGTCCCGCGTGCGCCTTCACCAGGGCCCGCCGGGCGGTCCGCCCCAGCAGGGGCACCAGCCGGCACGCCCACCAGCAGCCACGGAGCCGCCCCTCGGCGTCACGCTCTTACCGGCAACTGCTAACTCTTTGCCGTCTGGTGAGTGTAAAATGGTGTCTCATTAGGGTTTTACTTTTTATTTCCCTAATTACTACTAATGAGAATGAGAGCCTTTTCATATATTTACTGGCCATTCAGTTTGCCATGAAATACCTCCTGAAGTTTCTTACTCATTTGGAAACTCAGACGCTGATGACAACACATAATCTGCTATCTTTGTTCTCGAATAGGCTCACGTGGAAGATTTAATGTTATATCACATCTGACGCGGACCACAGCACACTGTGTGTGTGTGGACGTGTGTGGGGCGGGGGCGGTCAGGGAAGACCGGCAGCCCCCGGGGTGGGGGGACATCGTGCGTATCGGCGCTGTCGTGCTCACAGGGCCCTCTGTGAAGTGTGAGTAAAAAAAGAAGGTGCTGCAAGTTCTCCCCTAACCAGACCCAGGGTTCTCCCCTCAGACATCCCAGTATTTCCTTAGAGTCAACAGAGTATTCCGAATACTGAGCGCAGCACTGAAAGGGGTGACAATTAAGATACGGAGCACACGACAGTGTTGGCGAGCCATTTTTGCGACTGCTGTCGTCGTGAAAGGGGACCGCTTTAGGCACTTTGGATCAAATTCGGTATCCAAAGTTTAAAATCTTTGAGTCAGTTCAAGAAAAACGGCCAGTCCTACGGCATCTTGAGTCCCATGCCAGCCCAAAACTGAGTTCCTCAAGATTCGCTCTTCGCACCCCAAGGGAACGGAGCTCCACCTGGCGCTCCTCTGCACGGGAATACTCCGTCCCCCCTCCTGCAGTCCACACCCTGTCTGTCTGTCTGTCTGTCTGTCCGTGCCACCGCGGGTGTTCATCAGGAGGCTCCCTGCCGTCCGTGGAGCCAGACTCCAGCACGGCGGGCACCGAGCTGGCACTCGCCCCCCTCCCCCCGCCCCCGTGACCCCCGCGAGCCCCCCAGCACATGTCAGCAGCGGTGCCGCCGCCGCGCGCACGCCTGACCTTCCAGTTTGCTGCAGCGCTCCTCCAGAGTCAGCACCTTCTGCCGGTCCTCCTCCCACGAGAGCAGCTGTCTCTGGTGGACGGCGACCATGTCATTGAGCTCTCTGTCGCGGTCCTTCAGCTCTCCCACGAGCAGCTGCAGCTCCTTCCGCTGCTTCTCGATCGTGGAAATCTCAACTTCCGACCCGATGTTCTAGTCACAGAAAGTGGTCTCGCATCAGCATAGAAACTAGCCAACGGCAGGAATCAGCCTAATTAGAACTCCCTCTGCTGCCAGTCCAAGGTGGTTTAAATTAACTACGTTTTCTTCACTGGTGATAACATGGCATCACAATCATGTATAGTCAACATACATAAGCAAGTTCACACCTGCTGTGCACTGCTTCTATCTCTGTCACACCACGCACACACACCACTCGCACGGTGGGACCGTTGGTGACACCTCCACCGGCTAGTCACAGACGGACCCGTCCCTGCACTTGGTTTCTCTGCGGTCGGCTCTCTCCTTGGATCAGCCAGCAGTAGACTCCCTCCCCTGGCCCCAGTCAACTGTAACTAATTCTCATGACCTCTAACACATGCACATGTGCTCCGTCTGCCAAGAACAATTTAATATTGGGACTGGGCCAAACTCAACACACCTGCTAAAAACACCAATTCTGTGAAGGAAAACTCTGGAACATACGCAGAAGACAGAGAACGGCACAACACACTCCCATACGCTCAGGACCCAGGTTCTGCCATTAAGATTTTGCCACCTGTTTCAATATTTTTTTCTTATTGTTGATTAAAAAAAGATACATTTCCTCCTGGCTGGTGTGGCTCAGTGGACTGAGCGCCGGCAAGCCTGTGAACCAAAGGGTCACAGGTTCGATTTCCAGGCGGGGCACATGCCCAGGTCATGGGCCGGGTCCCTGGCAGGGGGGCCACTCAAGAGGCAACCACACATTGATGTTTCTCTCCCTCTCTTTCTCTCTCCCCTCCCCTCTCTCTAAAATAAAAAAATAAAATCTTTGAAATAAAATTAAAAAATACATTTCACTCATACATACATCAGTATCATTTCTAAAAATGAACATTTTCATATAACCACGGTGCCATGTTCACATCTACCAAAACTATCTACGGTATAGTCCCTTTTAAGCACACGGTACGTGAAAGCCTAGCGCAGGAAAGTTGGTCTGACCACACGCAGAGGCCAGGAGCAGCCACTTGGGGGCTCTAGGCAACCTTGGGCAGGTTGCTTCACTGTAAGTGAGCCTTCGTTTCCTCACCTGTAAAATGGTAACAACAGCACTGCGCCTTCTCACGAGTCCTGTGGATTGCGCCAGACAAACCCTGTGAAGCACTTCACACTACTCGCCAAATCGCAGGCACTCGACAAACACTAGCTATTATTAAGACTGCGAGTTACATTTCAAAAGCTGGTGCTGTCCCCCTGGATGAAATAAAGAACTAAACGTGTTACTTTAAGATTTCCATCTTAGCCCTGGCTGGCATAGCTCAGTGGATTGAGCGCAGGCTGGGAACCAAAGTGTCCCAGGTTCGATTCCCAGCCAGGGTACATGCCTGGGTTGCAGGCCATAGCTCCCAGCAACTGCACATTGATCTCTCTCTCTCTCTCCCACTTCCTCCCTTCTCTCCCTAAAAATAAATAAATAAAATACTAAAAAAAAAGTAGTTTCTTAAAAAAAAAAAAAAAGATTTCCATCTTAAAGACGGGAGTGACGAGTTCACCAGAAGCCCAAGCATACCACATCATTCGGGCTTTCTGAAAAACACGATGCGTCAGTAACAACGAGGAATGAATCACAGTTATTAGAAAGTAAACACAGAAAATGGAATTTGGAGGCGGGGGATTCCAAATCACAAGACTTGAATTCCAGTCTTGGCTAGGCCATTCATTCAGTCCCTCACTCACTCACTCACTCGTTCAGCAAGTATTGACTGGGGGATACATCACAGAGCGCGCCGCAAAGATCCAACATATTCTCGGGTCGGACAAGAGGCAATAAGTATACACAAAAGTTCATCTCATCGTATACCGCTTAACGCAAACCTGGGACAAGCTCCCTTTCAGGGCTTTTTTTGGTAAAACGGGGCTCCCGTGGAGTAAACTAAGGGCCGGAAGCCGGGCGGCGCGGGGAACAGCAGCTCCACCGAGGCCAGCTGTGTGTCGTTAAGACGCCATCACCTGGTTCCTCCCACCGGTCTTAGCGTCTGGACGGGCAACGAGTTTCTTTTAGGACAAGGAAACGGACGTGACGCTCCGTTTTTCCTCGACGGCTCGGGCACTGTTTTAAATATGACGCGGGAACCGTGCCTTCAAACCCACCCAAGGTGGCCAGACGCGCACGCAGCGCCCCGAGGTCGCACCCGGGCGCGCCGGCGGCCGTTCACCTGGCGCCCGACGAAGAAGGTCGCCGAGGGGTTCATAGGTGTTTCCTCCGCGCCCGGAGAAAGGCGCTGAGCGCAGCGTCACCTTAGAAACGCCATAGGCGCGCCTGCCCGGAGCGGCAGGGGAGCCCCGAGGCCCCGAGCCCCGCGCCTTCGGCCGGCCCGAGCGAGCGCACCCAAACCGCCCGCTCAGCCGAGCGCGCGTCGCGCGGGGTGAGCCGACGCCGCTCTCGCGAGACCGCGGCGGCCGGCCGCGCGACCCCTTGCGGGAAGCTGGCTCCCCGCGGAGCGTGTGAGCGGCTTGGCGGGCACAGCTCTCCCGACGTTTGGGGCTTCCAGTTCTGGGCCCAGGACTCGCGATTGGTTCATGGGGGAACGTGCAATCCATTATTCACCGCCCGCCCGCAAAAATCGGCTCTTTACAATTCCCCAGTAAATGATGGAGCAAGTAAAGGCTGTTTCTATCCCCGTCGCCCTGGGTTACGTCCGCGGGGCTGCTCACCGGTTTGCCCGGCTGAACGGTGCGCTCGGCCGGTTCAGCAGCTGTGCGTTCCTGGAGCTAGGACGGTACCTGTCTCTCAAACGGAGGAACGGATGGAGGCAGACCAGCGCTGCTACAGTTAGAGTCGCTGGGCAGCCCAGCAGACAGCTCCAAACAAAGCATCGCAGATGAAAAGAAAAAAAAAAAAGTTTTTTTGGTTTGGGCTCTTGATGTAGCTCTTGAATAGCAACGAGGATTTTGCAACTCTATTCCTGACAATATTTTACCACATTCTGGGCTGAACCTAAGCTTTTTTCACGTGTTGTTTCACAGTCCCTCTTTCTCCCTGCTTCTACTCTGTCATCTGGGAACTGAACTGGGGAGAACTACTACTTACCACACTGAAACCCGGTCACCCACCCCCTACTCCTTAGCCATTAGGATGGCATCACCCCCCAAGACAGGTTAGCAAATAGTCTCACAGGATTTCAGCTTTACTTTTGGATGGACTGTGAATTAGCAAAACACGCCCTCGTGTTTATAAAACCTGAAAATGGAAAACCAGAATTACAATTTCTTGCTCTCAAGGTTTACCGATTTGCGTGACACTTGCCTCCTAAGGATTAAGCTCCTGTTTAAGAGAACCAACTCCATGTCTTCGAATTTAAAAATCAAGAAAGAAAATTCTGACTAGTTGTTGAAAACAGCCTATCAGCAGGTTAGTATGCGGCACATCCAGCTTCATTGGTGGAATGGGATGCCAAAGGGAATGTGGTTGAACGCCAGTTCTCCGTTTGGGCAGCATATTAACCCAAATGCTTTTCCAATTTCACCACCCTAAGGTTTATGTTTGTTTAAGCCCCGAAATGCCATTGCCCACCAGGTGACCATGCGCCAGCACTCACTGGGGAAGTCCGAGGAGTTCCGAGGTGGTAAGAAATGCGGTGCCCCTTACACCATGGTGGCCAGTAAATGTTCCCTGAATGAGGCAAGAGTATTATGACGACCTTGCAAATCAAAAACCTCAGTATTTTAAGTTCATTCCTGAAGTTTTCTTTTAAAAGATAATCTTTAGAGAAGATATAACTCTTAAATGATATAAAATGTTTTCTGGTAGCTTTAAGAATTATACTGCATCTTATTTTTCACTCAGTCTGTTTCAAACTGATGAGGTAAATGGACTCTTTCCAGTCTCCCTGTTATTTCCTAAGTAATCCAGCATATAACAAAGATAGGATCTAAAAGGCAGAATTATCTGTAAAGTAGTATTTTTAATTAAGAGTGAAAAAGCTACCATGGACGACATCTTCAGCTACAGCTGATTTACTGGAGCTTCTATGTCATAACTAAAAAGAAATTTAAAATTACTACCAGCATCTATTCCTTTAATGAACAAAAACTACATATCAAAACTGTATTTGCATTTGAAGTTGCCAACTTAATCGTGGCACATCTCCTACACATATTATGAGATAAGGCTGTTCAAGAACTGGTGTTATTTTTGCTAAAAATACTAGCCTGTGAAAACATTCCATGAAACGCACATAACGAGAATGTATGAATTAAAAGCACTCCCAGTTCTGCTGGCAGAACGATCCCTGTTCTATTGTAATCAGAGATGAAACTACGCTGCATTTTTAACGGGGGTCAAAGAACGAGATTCACACGTGCTATACACAAGGACGGTTTTAATCCTGCATTTTCCTGCAGTAACACCCACTGCTGCCTAGATAGGGACTGCAACTGCATTTGACAAGAACTGTGAACATTGGGAATCTTTACATGAAGTCACATGTGTTGTACAGGCCCACGGACATCTTCCAGAACCAAGAGAATACACACATAACACACACCAAATGGTCTCCATGGCTAAATTTGCTTCATCATACAATAATCGTATTTAGTAAAATCCACAGTTAATGCAGAATTTTTTTAAATTTACATCTTTACTACACAGTCTAAGATTTTAATTATTAAAAAAAAAACATTCATTCAAGATTGTAAATTTGCATGGCAATCAACAGCAGGTTCTAAATTTCTTAAAGGTGTCTAGAGCAATTAAAATACCATGAGTCTTCTTTTCGATTTGTAGCACCTGACTTAAGACCTTTATAAAAACAAAGTTTAAATTCATTTAGTGCATTCATGAAAATTGTCAGTTTCTCGTGAGAAAAACGTGTTTCAACCGCTATTTCCCAGGCGACACATTAAACATGGGTTTATAGTATCTGCAGCAGGCCAGCAGAACGTCACACCATCCCGTGTAGGCAGAACGGGGGGACTCGCAGCCTCTGTGAATGGCCTCCCGCTCACAACGATGCGTGATGTTCTACCGCGTGGTGCGCCATCATCTCTTCAGCCGCCTCCCAGTTGTTCCTTGGTACCATTTGCCATCTCTTTGATGTCGTGAGTAATGTCGTGATGAACACAAGACTTACATCTGTAGGATAACGTCAGAGGCGTGGCTTACTGGGCCCAACAGTGCAGATGGTGTTAAGGCTTTTAGTATACTTCACCAAGTAACGTCCAGAACAGCTTGAACGACTCCTACCCACAGGATGCAGAGGCGCCCACAGAGTGGCCTTGGTGACAATGAAGCCGACTCAACCACGGACCTATCAGAGGCTCAAGCATCTGGAAACTAGCACGCCAAAGAAGCAAGGGGTAGTTATTACTGGCGATGAAGCCAAATTAGAATTCTGTAAAACGTCATTCAGCTTTAAATCATGATTTAAGTAAATCATGACCATTTAAAAAAATAACACATAAACTTCCCACAAAAAGTCTACAGTGTTTTTCCAAAAATAAAAAATTTGAGAGAGAGAAAGAGAAACGTCAGTACCAAGTGACCAAAAATTTTTATTTGACTAAATTCTATTTCATGCATAAGCATGACAGTCCCCGCTGTGTATCAGACTTTGGCAATAAAAAAACAAGCAGCCTTGCACAGACAGTGAAAACGCCACGGGCGAGGGCAGCCTACAGTCTGACTGTAGGATAAATATATATATATTTTTTTCCCCAAAAGGCCTCTCCCCCTTTGGCTGTATCAACTCTCAGTTCAGACCATTAAATACAGACAGATTTTCAAAATCACTTCTTCACTTCTCCAAGATCTTCGATGCTATCGTCATCCACCTGTAAAACACGGATAATCACGGGCCGTGAGTCGCGGTGTCAAATAACGCGGAAGCAACTTGCTTCCGAAACGGCTCTGCAGGCGGACGCGGTCCACATACGTACCTCCGGCCACTTCTCCTGAATGACGTCGATGATGTCGTCTGTGAAGTCCCCCTGGATGATGATCTCGTCCTCCCCTGTCACTGAGGCACCACAGGAGAATTTCTGAGCAAAAAATCTTTGTGCTTCTTTAAGATCAATTTCTGTTATTTTAAGAAAAGAGACAGCAAGACTATAATGAGGACTGTATGTCAAAGATAGTTTTCCACTTTGAAATTGGATCTGCATTTTAAATTCACAAAACAGATCACATTAAAGGGTTTCATATTCCTTTCAGAGCAATAGTTACTATCACACGCAGTGGTCTTAAAATTTCAAAGATTCAAGATCAAATAAAACCTCAACTTATAAAAATAGCATCACTCACTACTCACACAGTAACCAAAATAAACCCAGTAACACAGTTCTATTACATATGCACTACTGGACACAACGAAGTCCTTTTGTTTATCCCTCTTAGAAAAAAACAGTTTACAGCACAGAAACACACACAGTTTCCAGTGGCCCAGCGAGTGCGGGGCAGTCTGTGCTGTCACACGAAGGGTCAGACCGTGGGGTTCCCACTTCACCCGGTCCCACCGTGCAGTCCAGGCCTCCAGGAGCTGACGGGCCCATGCAGCAAGACCCTTGGCGCCCACTGCCTTTCCTCCCCTCTGCGACACTCCCGGGGGGACGAGCCAGACCGCGACCCTGTGCCGCCAAGCCCGCGGGGCCGGGGAGGCGACACTGGTAGGCTTCAAAGGGAGCCCTATCTTGCCCTCCTCATTCCACATAAAACATGTCCAAGCAGAAATTCTGGAGAGGAAATAGTTAAACCAGTTCCCTCTACAAAAGAATAACATTTCCTCAAAATTTGATTTTGAAGCTAAAACAAGACCTGGGAAATTTTCATGATACCGGTTTTTTAAAAAGAGAGAAAAATACATATACAGTTCACGTGTTTTAAACATACTTAAGAGTAAACTCACCAAAAGTTGCAAGGCCACACACTCTTGTCACGTATTTCTTCTTTGCTCTGGGAATTTTGGCTATTGTGACTTTTTGTGGTACAGTCTTCTTTTTCTGTTTTATTTGACCCCTTCCACCTTGACAGATTAAGAAAGAGCTCAGCATCAACTGTTTCACTTTTAACATAATTAGAGAATGCTGTCTTTAAATTTGTTATGTTGAAAAGGTACCAATTAATTTCTAAAGTGTCTTTTCCTAATACAAAATTTGTGAACGCATGTGTGAGTATTCTTCCAATAAATATTTAAGTCAGCCCTGGCTGGTGTGGCTCCGTGGGCTGAGCGCCGGCCTGCAAACCAAAGGGTCGCCGGTTCAATCCCGGTCAGGGCACAGGCCTAGGTTGCGGGCCAGGTCCCCCGTAGGGGTAGTGTGAGAGGCAACCACACACTGATGTGTCTCCCTGTTTCTCCTTCCCTTCCCCTCTCTAAAACAGTCCCCGC